CATAGAAATTGAGGGAGGAGGGGAACAAAATATACAAAACAAACAACAACAAAATGCAACAATAAGGAATAATACAATTTAAAAATGGGCCAAAGACAGACACTTCACCAAGAAAAGATAGATCGCAAGTAGGTATGTGAAAAGATGGTCTACATTATATGTCATCAGGAAATTGCAGATTAAAACATACCACTACATACCTATTAGAATGCAAAGATTCAAAACACTAACAATAGCAAGTGCTGGTGAGAATGTGAAAAAACAACTCATCTACTGCCAGTGGAATGCAAAAATGGCACAATCAATTCGAAAGACTGTTTGGCTGTATTTTTTTTTTTTTTACAAAATTAAACATAATCTTAGCATATGACCCAGTAATCGTGTGTGTGTGTGTGTGTGTGTGTGTGTGTGTGAATTGAAAACGTGTCTACACAAAAACCTACACACATGTTTACAGCAGCTTTATTCATAGTTACTAAACCTTCGAAGCAACCAAGATGCCCCTTCAGTAAGTGGATGAAAAACGTACATCTAGACAACAGGATATTACCACTAAGAGAAATAAAATATCAAGTCGAGAGAAGACATGGAGGGACTTAAATGCATGTTACTAAGTGAAAGAAGCCAATCTGAAAAGACTAATTACAACATTTTGGCAAAGGCAAAATAATGGAGACAGTACAAAGGTCAGTGGTTGGGAAAGGGAGAGATTGTATAGATGTAGCAGAGTAAAACTGCTCTGCATAATGTTATTCTGATGGATATATGTAATCATACATTTGTTAAAATATATAAAAGGCTAATAAGCAAAGTACCTTCTCGGGAGTTTGATCATTTGCTATGACGTGCACTGGCTATCGGGGTGGCACGGAACAAAAGAAGGCCCTGGCCGGCAGCCTTAAGGCACCGGCTGGTAGCCTGAAGGCCACAGTCGGCCCTGATCACTGGCCAGGCCTAGGGACCATACCTGTGCATAAACTTTGTGTACCGGGTCTCTAGTCCTTATATATTGCATAACATCAAGAGTGAACCCTAATGGTCCTTAGCCCAGTGGTTCTCAACCTTTCTAATGCCACGACCCTTTAATACAGTTCCTCATGTTGTGGTGACCCCCAACCATAACGTTATTTTTGTTGCTACTTCATAACTATAATTTTGCTACTGTTGATGAATCATAATGTAAATGTTTGTATTTTCCGATGGTCTTTCACGACCTACAGGTTCAGATTGGCTGCTGTAGAGCCTAAGACCATGTTATGCAATATATAATGACTTATGAATCATAATGTAAACATCTGTGTTTTCCTATGGTCTTAGGCGACTTTGCTAGCAGTTCTCAACCTATGGGTCACGACCAACAGGTTGAGAACTGCTGCTGTAGAGCCTAAGACCATCGGAAAGCACAGAGATTTACATTACGATTCTTAACAGTTGAGAACCACTTTCTAGCTGGTTTGGCTTAGTGTTGACCTGTAGACCAAAGGGTCCCGGGTTCAGTTCTGGTCCAGGGCATGTATCTTGATTGCAGGCTTTTCCTGACTTGGGCCCTGGTCCTCGTCGGGTCTCCTTCAGGAGGCAACCAATTGATGTGGTTCTCTCATATCATTGTTTCTGTCTTTCCCTTTCTCTTCTACTCTCCCTAAAAATGGAAAAATATCCTTGGGTGAAGATTTTTTTTTTAAATATATTTTTTGATTTTGTACAGAGAGGAAGGGAGAGAGATAGAGTTAGAAACATCTATGAGAGAGAGTCATCAATCAGCTGCCTCTTGCACACCCCCCACTGGCGACGTGCCCGCAGCCAAGGTACATGTCCTTGACCGGAATCGAACCCGGGACCCTTCAGTCCCGAAGCCAACGCTCTATCCATTGAGCCAAACCGGTTTTGAGAGGGTGAAGATTTTTTTTAAAAAGTGAACCCTAATGTAAATTACACACCTCTGGTGATAATGATGTGTCAGTGTAGTCTCATTGATTACAAGAAACGTGCCACTCTGGGGAGGGTGTGTGTGTGGGATCAGTATTAGGGGGCCCTGCATACTTTCTATTGCACCTAAAACTTCTCTAAAGAATAAGCTTTTCCCCCTTGCAGCCAGCGTAGGAGCGCCAGTGGTCAAAATGAAGTTCAATCCCTTAGTGACTTCTGACCAGAGCAAGAACTGTAAAAGGCATTTCAATGCACCTTCCACAAGCAAGATTATGTTGTTTCCTCTTTCCAAAGAACTGAGACAAAAGTACAATGTATTCGATCCATGCCCATCCAAAAGGATGATGAAATTCAGGTTGTTCAAGGACATTACAAAGGGCAGCAAATTGGCAAAGTAGTCCAGGTCTACAGGAAGAAACATCTCATCTACATTGAATGAGTGCAACGGGAGAAAGCTAATGGTACAACTGCTCATGTGGGCATTCACCCAGCAAGGTGGTTATCACTAGACTGAAGCTGGACAAACAGTGCAAAAGGATCCTTGAACATAAAGGCAAATCTCGCCAAGTAGGACAGGAAAAGGGAAAATATACGGAAGAAACAATTGTGAAGATGCAGGAATAAAGTAACATTATATACAACTTTCAAAAAAAAAAAAGAATAAAGACTTTTTAAAAGGTATTCAATATTAGCCATTAGGAAAATACAAGATAAAACCACAGTGAGAATCCTCTGTATGCCTATTGAAATGCTAACATTGAGGAGGTTGACCATACCAAATGTTGGCAACGTTATGGAGGAACTGGAACTCGCATATATTGTTGGTGAGAATGCAAAATGGTTTAATCATTTTAGAAAGATGTTTGACAGTTTGTTTAAAAACTAAACACTCCTAAAACCCTAGATCACCTTTTTGGATTCTTATTACCCAAGTTTAAAAAATAAATAAATAAATAATATTAAAAAAAAACAACAAAAAACTAAACACTCCTACCATATGATGCAGCTATTTCACCTTTAGGAGTCATTTAAGAGAACGGAAAATATTTTGTCCTTATAAGGACTTGAATACAAATGTTTATAACAGCTTTATTTGTAATAGCAATAAATGAAGCAAGTAATGTTTCTCAACAGATGAATGGTTAAATACATTGTCTTATATCCATAAAATGAAATGCTACTTACCAATAAAAATGTACTACTGATAAAACAATACAGATTGCTCTCAAAATAAGTATGCTGAGTGAAAGAAGCCAGACAATAAAAGAATACATATTGTGTGATTCCATTTATAATCTAGAAAGTACAAACTAATCTATAGAGACAGAAAGCAGGGGATGGTGAGGAAGAATAGAAGAAGGGACTAAAAAGGGGAATAAAAAACTTCTGGGCGTGATGGGTATGAATACTATCTTAATTGTGGGGATGGTTTTAGAGACGTATACATATGTCCCAATGTATCAAACTGTACACTTTAAAGTGTACAATTTATTGTATATTGTATTCCAATAAAGCTGTTTAAAAGAAAGAGCTATTATCCAGCTTAGAACTATGCTTTGGGGACAATTATTAATGTTTTCTCAATTTGAATAATGACAAAAGCTTTTTAGGAAGTCTGACCACCAAATTAGCAAGAGCGGAGTCTATGTTCGAGAAGAAAAATACACACTTACCATAGAAACTGGCCTTCATGTTTTTCAGTTACTTTCCCACATTGTCCCTGTGGCAATTTTATTTGAGTGATCTGTTTATTTTTCATCACTGTACTAATTCCCTGGACACCCACCTTGCTCCAGTTTCCCTGCCCCATCTCTCTCCATGTACCATAGAGTCTTTGAGTTTGGTGGAAATAATGGATGGGAAGGGGCAGAAAGGCAATAGAGTGGTTTTATTAGAAGGTAAGACTACTCAGCCTAGAAAAATATCCTTTGGAACCAGGTACATCTATCACTAAGATTCTGGATCCAAAACTCCAAGATCACCAGTAACACTGGATGCTGATGCTGTCCTCTGTTTCAGTGTTTACAACCAGGTTTTGATAATAGCTTGAGTTGCCAACTATAAGACTGAGCCTGGAAGAAAAAACATAGAGCAGTGAAGAAAACAATTAACATGCAACAAACATCTGCTAACTCAAACTGAGGGCCTGGGCTGCTTCTCAGTCCCTGCTGTAGTCACAGCAGTGATGAGCACCTTGCGATGCACACTCAAGCAATATTATTAAATCGTAAGGAGCAGTTGAATAACAATAAAAAAGTTAAATTATTTCATTCTTTAGGTCCTTATCTAGCTGATGCCTTTCTCTTTGGCTTAGTTTAAATTCAAAACTCTGGTATTTGGGGTAAGGTCTTACCTTCTTTCTGCTGTGTCAATAAGGCAAAGCATATAGGCTAGCAAGGATCATGGGCCTCAGAGTTGGGTTTGCCATAGGAGCTTTGGCTGTCAGGGTCAGCTCAGCAAATCAACGGTGGTTTTTGTTCTTTTTTTTTTTTTTTGTGTGTGTGTGTGTGTGTGTGTGTGTGTGTGTGTGTGTGTGTGTGTGTTTTCTAGGCTAAATGTTATTGCTTCAAAATTCCCCTTTCTTGAGCTCAGGTGGCTGGGTACTTTGGGCTGCTGGCTCCTCCCTGGTGCTGTGTTCAGCTCATGTTCAGGAGCTCCCTGGGCAGTTCTGTAGGAAATGACCAAAGTGTTGCATCAACTTAAAATTGGCAGGTGAGGGAACACAGTCCTAAGGAGGGAGGGTCCAGTTCCCCAGCTAAAGCAGATTGCTGTCATTCTGTGATTTGCCGGATTGGGTGGCACAGGGACAGCGGCGGGGTGTGTTGGGTAAATGGGGATCCGAATCTGGAGTGTGAACAGAGCCCTGCTGCCGGGTGGCGGGGAGATCTCGCACACAAGGCCCTCTGGGACCCTTGGTCGCCGCCTCCGTCCCACACCTGTGGCCCTGCGCCCTGGAAGCCCAGCCCGCAGGCCGGGGTGGGCGCCGCGCCGACTGGCGCCCCCTGCCGGCCAGCCGGGCTCCCGCGCTCGCCGGCCCGCGCCCAACGCTCGGCTCCAGGGACGCCCGCGGCCGGATGCCCTGCGCCCGCAGCCTCCTCGGCCTGCTGGCGGCCCTGGCGGCCTGCGGCGCCGCCGCCTTCCTGGGCTACTGCGTGTACTTCGACTGGAGGCGGCGCGGCGACCCCGCCTTCAAGCGCCGCCTGCGGGACAGTGAGTGCGGCGGCGGCGGCGCGGCCGGGTGGCGGGGCGGCCCGCGGGCCAGGCGGGGCCGGAGCCGCCGGTGGAGGGGCCGCGGGCCGCCGGCGTCGGGACGGCTCCCGCCCAGCACGTGCCGCGTTGTCTTTGCAGAAAGAAGAGCTCAGCCCTCGAAGGCGGCCGCACCTGGCGCCCAGGTGAGGTGCTGCAGCGACCCCAGGCGGCGGGACAGGGAACCGCCTCCCCACAGGGCAGGTCCCGGCTGGGTTTGGGGTCCTGGCCCGGGTTGGGGGCCCGGGTTGGGGTCCCGGCTGGTTCCGGACCCTGCACTTCCCAGCCCACGTGGCGTTCAGGCTTAGTTTTTAGTGTCGCTCACAAAAGAAAGAGGAGGAAGAACCATTTGAGGCTATGAAAAGGCAGCTAGCTATACAATACACTTTGTAGAAACAGGTGGTAAGACAATTTTTTAAATTTTAAATATATTTTGATTTTTTACAGAGAGGAAGAGAGAGGGATAGAGAGTTAGAAACATCGATGAGAAACATGGACCAGCTGCCTCTTGCACACCCCCCACTGGAGATGTGCCCGCAACCAAGGTGCATGCCCTTGACCGGAATTGAACCCAGGATCCCCCAGTCCACAGGCCAACACTCTATCGGCTAAAAACATTTTTTTTAAAGTATGTTTTTATTGATTTCAGAGAGGAAGGGAGAGGGAGAGGGGAATAGAAATAGCAGGGATGAGAGAATTATTGATCGGCTGCCTCCTGCATGGCCCCTATTGGGGATGGAGCCCACAACCCAGGCATGTATCCTGAGCAGGAATCAAACCATGACATCCTGGTTCATCCTGAACCAGGCCGGCCGGGTGCTCACTCTGCCTTTAAAGACCAGCCCTGGGCATGGTGCCAGTGATGTGGCACCCTGTGACCCTGGTCACCTTCATAAACCAAGCTGGCAGCAAACCACAGCGACCTTCTCAACACCAACTGCACTGCCAGTGCCCCACCACGCTGTGTCCCAGTCAACAGACAAGGTTAATACCCCAGGCAAGGAAATAGATTTGCAACATACAAAGTAATCTCTGTTATAGTTAATTATAGTAAGATGTCTGATATGTGTACTTAGTAAGCCGAGTAAAATATGGATGAGTTATTACAAGCATCTCAGCCTCATTTGGATATGCCATGTATTTTTTTTCTTTTTTTAAATTTTATTTTATTGTTGACAGTATTACAGATGCCTCCCATTTCCTTCCCCTCTAATCCCCACCACCCAGCCACTAATGTATTTTTTTTTTATGGCCTGAAATCATAATTCCACTTTAAGAAATTGGTTTAAATATTGTAAAGAATAACTGCTTTTGTCATACTTTGGATTTAGAAACTAGGTTTAAGAAGTGTATTTTAAAATAAGAACTAAATAATTTTGATTAGTAAGCATTCCCTCACACCCGTTACTCTCTGTTAAATATTTTGTGAATCGCAGCTGTGGGATCCAGCAAGGAATGAAAAGTTGCAGGAACTTTTTCTGCAAGAAGTACGAATGGGAGAGCTTTGTCTATCTAGAGGTAAGAACATAAACATTATTTTGTAGGCGGTTCTTTATGATAATTTGTTCATTTATTGATCAGGATATATACGTTAAGTAATGTAACTAGCTAGATATGTTAGCCAATGTGCTTCAGTTTAAAGAGAAATGGTCCCAGCATTGTCACTCCATCCCACTTGCCAGCTCCAATGTGTTATAATTAGTGTCCCAGCTTATATTGCAGTCTTGGAAGTGCCGATGGAGAAGCAAAGCCAAATGCCAGAACACCTCATCTATCACCAGGTAAAAATTGAAGTGAATAAATTTTCCAAATGGTTACTTGTGTGAATCAAAACTTTAAAACTTTTAATTGCTTTATAAACATTTTCCAGCCTTCTTATTTGTTTTAAAAAATATTTTATTGATTTTTTACAGAGAAGAAGGGAGAGAGATAGAGAGTTAGAAACATCAACCAGAGAGAAACATCGACCACCTGGCCTCCTGCACACCCCCCACCAGGGATGTGCCAGCAACCAGTGTGCATGCCCTTGACCAGAATCAAGCCTGGGACCCTTCAGCCCGCAGGCCAACACTCCATCCACTGAGCCAACTAGGTCAGGGCCTGCCTTCTTATTCTTAATAGGATACTTATTTTGCCAAAACCGGTTTGGCTCAGTGTGTAGAGCGTTGTCTGCGGACTGAAAGGTCCCAGGTTCGATTCTGGTCAAGGGCATGCACACTGGTTGCTGGCACATCCCTGGTGGGGGGTGTGCAGGAGGCCAGGTGGTCGATGTTTCTCTCTCATCGGTGTTTCTAGCTTTCTATCCCTCTCTCTTTCTCTCTGTAAAAAATCAATAAAATATATTTTTAAAAAATAGGATACTTATTTTTTAGGGTAAAGTCATTATGAATATCCATTTTTGTCCCAAAGTATGCCTGTGGGGAATACTTTGCACTTAATGGCCATGACCTATTTTTTGAAATATGATTTATCCCCACCCAATTCCAGATAGATTTGAGAGAAAACACAATATTGTCAGATAAAATGATGATAGATAATTTCAGTATCATATAAAATATTGTATATGTAATGACCATGTTTTTACTCTGGTGTTGAACTCTAGAAAGAAAAACATTTTTTTCTTGAGCCTTGTCTAAGGAAAAAACGATGATACTCAATAAACAAGTATTACACCCATTATGTGTCTTTTTTTTTTTTTCAAGTATTACCAATTCCACTCCATATCTCAGTACCTGTATTTGTTTTAGCTTCTTTTGATTGTCTTTTTTGAAAAGGTTTTGTTTTTCAACCTGCAATTATGAGGGATAGCATCCTCCAGGATTTATAAAGAGAAAGAGGAAGTCAAGATCCTGGGCAACTCAGAGCAATACCAAAGATTTTGACTTTAATCGGTGGCTTTAGAACATGCTAAAGGTTTTGAGAAATTAAAAAAATATTGCAGCCACTCAAAATCATTGCACGTTAATCATAGTTTAAAATTTCAGTAATTTATTCAGTACAAACCATTTTGGTAGGTTTATAAATGGACTAAAAATATCTTATAAGTATGAATGACAAAATGAATTATTAGAACTGACTTAATGATATAAGCAGGAGTGATTTTACATAAGGTAATGAAGTAGAAATTTTAAGGACCTTCATTTGCATGGGCCTCTTTGAAAGTGCTGGGAGGGGTCCTACCAATTTTGTATTCAAAATTTTATATTTTCTTTTTTAATCCTCACTCGAGGATATTTTTCTGTTGATTTTTAGAGAGTGAAAGAGGGAAGGACAGAGAGAAACATCGATGTGAGAGAAACACATCAATTTGCTGCCTCTTGCACATGCTCTGACCAGGGCCCGGCTGGGGAGGAGCCAGCAACCAAGGTACTTGCCCTTGACTGGAATCGAACCCAGGACCCTTCGGCCAAAGGATGATATTCTATCCACTGAGCAAAACCGGCCAGGGCAAAATTTGTTATTTTCTTAAACAGGGTTCCCCAAATTATATAAACTATGGGCTTCATAAAATCTGGATTAGTCCCTACATATGGATACTCCCTCGATAAAGGGGCAATTAAAATAGAGTTTTTCAGCTTTAACATTTTTCATTTGGGATAGTATAAAATAAATATGGAGAGGAAAATTCTGAATATAAAGCCAAAAGAAAAAAAAATAAAAAGTATTTTTTACAATTTATTTTTATTCACCATGTTTAAGAGCTATTGTGTATTAGTTTAGACTGAGATGAATGTTATAGATATTAAGATGATTAAAATGGTAATTGCAAACTTGTGTATTTAAATTTTTCCCTCTCAAAGGGAATAGTTTTAATTCTGTGAACCCCTAAATTGGTTAATGAGCTCTTTAAGGGTTATGTACTTTTACTGTATTTTACTTTTAAAGCAGATGTTTGCTTACTCTTTAAATCCCATTAAACCCCAAGCCAAATCAGAATCTCTGGGGATGGTACCCAAGCATCAGTATTTGTTAAACTTCCTGGTTATTACAATATAAATCCACACTGAGAACAAGTATTCTAATGTGATAACCTTTCACTTAGTTTTCTGTAATCTTTCTCAATTTTTCCCACTCCCCTCTGTACCAACCCCAATTTTCATAACTTTGTAGTCAGGTAGTCTAGTTCTATAGCCATCTCAATTTTGGTTGTGTCTGTTTGGGACCATAGAACCAATGATTTGATTGAATTTAGTGGTTGACTTAACTAATCATATTGTTTTTGTGTCACATTAGCTCCATATATATGAGTCATGTTTTCTTACCCATTCACTCACTTGATGTCTTTTGCTTGGAACATTTAATCCAATTATGTTTAATGTTATCATTTTAAATGTTTTTATTGATTATATTTATTTATCATAAATCCTTACCTAAGGATATTTCTCCATTGATTATTATTATTTTTTTAATTTTAAAAAATATATTTTATTGATTTTTAACAGAGAGGAAGGAATAGGGATAGAGAGCTAGAAATATCAATGAGTGAGAAACATCGATCAACTGCCTCCTGCACACTCACTATTGGGTATGTGCCCACCATGTACTCCCAAGATACATGCCCTTGACTGGACTCAAACCTGGGACCTTTGAGTCCATAGGCCAACACTTTATCCACTGATCCAAACTGGTTAAGGCTGTTTAATGTTATTATTGATAGGTACTTGTTTATAGCCATTTCTGTACTTTGTGCCTGTGTTCCTTCCTCCCTTTCTTTCTTCCTAAAAAAAAAAATAAATTTTTTTATAGCATTCCCTTTAACATTTCTTGCATTGTTGACTTGGTAGTGATAAACTTCCTCAGCATTTTTTTTTTTTTTTTTTTTTTTTTTGTCTGTGAAGCTCCTGGTTTCTCCTTCAATTTTGATTGACAGTCTTGCTGGATAGAGAATTCTTGGATTCAGTCCTTTGCTTTGCATCAGTTTGTATACCTCTTTCCATACCTTTCTAGCTTGATGTGTTCCTGTTGAGAAATCAGTTGATAATCTGATGGGGGATCCTTTGTAGGTAACTCTCTGTTTCTTTGTTAAGATTCTTTGTCATTAACATTTGCTATTGTAATTATGACATGTCTTGGTGTGGGTCTTTTCAGATTTGTCTTGCTTGGGACTCTGTACTTGTGTCAACCCCCCCCTCCCTCTCCTCCCCCCAATATCCAGGAAGTTTTCTGTTATTATTTCTTCAAATAGATTTTCTAATCCTTGCTGCTCTTCTTGTCCTTCTGGCAGCCCTATTATACATATGTTACTTTGTTTTATGTTGTCCCAAAGCTCCCTTACACTCTCCTCCTTTTTATTTTTTTCCCCTCCCATTGCTGTTCAGATTGAGCTTGTTTCTCTACCTTATCTTCTATCTCACTAATTTGTCCTCTGCTTCTTCTAGTCTACTGTTGAAATCTTCCATCGTGTTTTGATTGTAGCTATATCACTTTTGATTTCTTCCTGATTTTTGCATAGGTTGTTGATTTTCTCATTCATCTGGTATAGGAACTGTATAACCATTACTCTGAATTATTTTTGTTATGTTGCATGTTTCTGTTTCACTTATTTCCTTTCTTGGTGACTCCTCATTTTCTTTCCTCTGGGGATTGTATAGTTGTTTCCCCATTCTGATTAGCACCAGAAGGTTCAAACATTATTGAGTTGTGTGGGCCTGGGCCGTATGTAGTGGGAGCTGTGACACCAAGACGTGTGGCTGCCGTGCGTTGGTGGGAGTCACGCTAGCCCAGGATCAGAGTCACAGGCACTCAGTGTGGCCTCATGTGTACACCTAGAATCAGGGACCCTGCCATCGCCATTCTGAAACAGAGACCCTGTTGGCATTGCCAAAAATCAGAGTGCCAGGAGCCAGAGTTCCCCTATGCCTGCACCAACAATTGAGTATCAGAGTCTCTGTTTCTTGGTACAGTCCTGCGCTGAGAATCAGGGTCCCTGTGTGTGCATGCACCAAGAATTGGAGTCACTTGCTGTCAGTGTGAATGCACTGGGAATCAAAGATCCCAGGCACATGTGATGAGAAACAGAGTCAAGTCACCGGTGCTCAGTGCTGCCTCCTGCACAAAGAATCAGGGTCCCCAGTCTGCTTGGGGGACTGGGATGCACAGTAGCACTGGGTCGGCTGGAGGTCCACTCCTGTGCTGGGAAAAACAGACTTTCGTGTGTGCTTGCCCAGAACTGAAGTCAGGTGGTACTGCCACCCTGCCTGGGCATGGGGTTTGGTCACCCGATTGTGTTGCTGTAAAAGATTCCCAGTGTCCATGCACACACCCAGGCTCAAATTCCTGTAGCGGAGCTGTGGCCCTGGCCCTGTGCGAGGGGCAGATCTAACAGTTCTTATGGCATTCCAGCGAGCCTGTGAGGAGGGGATGGGCTCTGTGACTCACAGAAATCTGTGGCCCGGATGTCTGGATTCTTGACCTCTGTGGGTCTGCAGCTGTGGTGGCAGGTCTCTGTCCCCAGTGGCTTCAGGGTCCTGGTTTGCGTCTGAGACCAGACTGGGTGGTGCTGAGGCCAGGATCCTAGCCTTAAGAAGTTCTGTTTTTCAAGACGGCATGGTCTGTGCCCATGTTGGCCATCCCCGGAATATCTGTGGTGGCAGTGGGGCTGTGCCATCTAAGACTGCCCAGTTTGGCAGCCTCTTGGAAGACCTGCAGGATCTGTCCCTCGCTCATACACACACCATACACTCCTCTATCGCTCCCTCCCTCTCTCACACTCTCTCCTATCCTACCTTCCTGCCAGTCATCATCTTTAGAATCCTCCACTTTTAAAGTTTTAATACTTGGTGCTTTCTCAGTAATTGGTATAATTTGTATTTTGAAGAACATTAAAATTTTGCTCTGAACTTACCATTTGTTTCAGGAGAGCACAGTATGGGGGCTGAACATCTCAGCAAAGCCATTTCCATGTCTGGGCAACCACGGGAACTTCTGAAGGCTTTTAAACACACACTCCCTCCCAAGGTATTTGAGATGCTGTTACACAAAATTCCCCTTATTTGCCAGGTAAGCACTTATTTAATTATCTTTGTAAAATGGGCAGAATAAACAAATTTGGCTTGAATACATAGAAATAGCAAAGTAGATGTGTCAATGGTCCAAAGTTTTAAATGAGTAAAATCTGATTTTTTTTATTGCCTTTCTTGCCTTAAGGTGAAACAAGCTAATTCTTTCATGTTCCTTTGACTATAATGTATTGTATATTTTATTGAGAATTATGTTTCAGCATTTCAATTTTAAAGGTAGCATTGTTAACATTTTATTTGTCTTTGTACTTTCAAAGATACCACAATTATTGACCTACTGTCATGTCCATGGAGTCCCTTAAGTTAAATGGTATTTGTTATTTAAATGACCTAGTGGCTTAAAAATTAGATGTAACATAGAAAACAGTAAATTATCAAAGCAGAACACTTCAACTTTCCATTAGTATGACAAAACATAGATATCACATTGGTAAGTTTAAACATATAGACTAATCAGTGTTTTCTAATGTATAAATTGAGATTGATATCAAATGAAATTCTTTCAGATGCTAATTATTAATAGGTATTAGTCCACTTAATTTACCAAGCTGCTTGGTATGTTTATGGATCAATTAGAATTTCCTAAAAATGCTTGGATTTTAGGACTATTTAGCCTTAAGACACCTTTTAATTTTGGCTCCCTCTTTATGACACTGACCACATCGCGGCTGAGAACACTATGTGTCGTTGGTCTGACTCAGATTCATTCATGTTGGACTCAGCTTTCGAACAAAACACACATTCCACTAGAGCCTAACAGTCAACTCACATATTCCCAAGCTCGTCTCCGATGGTTTGTTTCCTGAAAATATATGGAAATGTAGTTAGAATAAGAATGTGTAATGCCCTGCCTGACACAGGAGAGGGGCAAGAAAAGGATCGTGCATTGAAATGATTAGTAACTATTTTGTGTTTACCAGCAATTTGAGGCAGACATGAACGAACAGGAATGCTTGGAAGATGACACTGATTGAAAAACACTTCAAAGTATCCACAGTCCAGTGAGAGTACTATATTATGATATAGCATAAACAACTGCGCAGTGATATTTCCGTTTATTTAACTTTTAGAAATAAAAAAACTTTCTATCTTATTCATGATTGAACACATATTTTGCATTAAAATTAATAGTCACAATTGAAGAAACAATGGTTTATTTTTCTATCAAGTGACTAGGCTCCTGAATCATAAGGCCTCAACAAATGTTGCATCTTACATTTTGATTGGACAATAAGACCTTCTATTTTGATTATCCCTGGTAAATAGCATTTTTGTTTCTCCAGTGGTTTCTATTTGCCAAACAGTCATGACAGATGGTTAACATGGTGGCTACTGCTTTCAGGGGATTCTAGCAGATGAATCCTCACGTCCAGTGCAAACTATTGGCAGCTTCTCAGGGAAAGTCCAGCTGTCAGGGCGTCTCTATCGTGGCTGGCCAAGGAGTCCTGCTTTGGCTGCCAGGGCTTCATTCTGCTGAATATGATATTCCTGAAATCTCATGGATATCCTCTGCGTCATTTTTAAATATTTCTGTAAGCAATGTTCTGAACAGGTGGTCTAGAAATAAAAAGAGAGAAGATTGAAGAGGCTACACAGAAATATTAATTTGGGGAAAAAAAAAAAGCATGTATTCTAAAAGACCAACAAGTAGGTACTTTTCTTTGAATATATCTGAGAATTAAATGGTATTAATAAGTAGCAGATGACCATAGCTTTCAACTGTTAATACATGAGGTATTACATTTTGATACCTATGGGTCACTAGGCACTAAAAACAATGGTAAGTCCCTACTAGCTGGACTAGACTTTCTGCAGGTGTGCTTTAGTATTAACTGAAAGCCTACATTCCCATTCCCTTATTCTGATTATTAAAATGTAGGCCCAGTACATCTTTGTTCCTTTTTAATGAGAAATTCCACTCTTAATATTAAGTTAATTCTCAACCTTTTACTTTTTTCCTGTAAGATTACACTTAACATCTATCAAACTATGTCACTTATTTAACAAATACTTATTCATTGCTGGTTAAAAGTTAAGATCGTGGCATGAGTGTTTTCAGTATTCTTCCACTGGAAGAAGTTATATCTCTTTCAGCCAATATATAAATGTTTTGATGAGCAGGTTAAAAGTTGTAACTTCTAATAGGATTGGGTTTTGAGAGCCTACCTCTGCACTATGAGTGATGAAATTCAAGCTCTAGTTTTTTCAAAGTTATCCTGAATTCTCAGGGTCAGATAGAAGCCATGTCAAGTTTCTCAAGGTAGATCATCTTAATTGAAATCTAATTACTAAAACTTTGCAATGGAACAATAACTCAGCAAGCCTCAGGCATTTTTTTTTTTTTTAGTATGCATTGATTCAATGTGACTATCATATTAAATTTGTCACCACTAAACTCAGTGTTATGGGTCCTTGGCTGCTTTAGTTCCTCCAAGCAATGGAGCATAAAAGGTGGGCAAAGTTGCTGTAATAATTAGGAACAAGCAAAATGCTTAGGGGGATTGCATTTAAGTTGATGATCACAAGCTCAGAGAATCTTTAGTGGGTACACTTTTCATACCTCTTCAGGTTTTACTTCTCTTGTTGTGAAGTCTTTAACACAATCCAAAAAGCAGGTTTCTGTAAGTTTATTGTAGGTTCCAAGAAATTCTTTAAACTATAAACAAATAAGGCATTTAAAAAAAAAAATAAATCTTTATTGCTCATGATTATTACAATTATTCCCCTTCCCCCCCAATATCTCCCTTCCATCTAGTTTCCATCCTCCCTTGCCCTTACCTTTCCCCCCATTGTCCTCATCCATAGGTGTAAGATTTTTAAAAAAATATATTTTATTGATTTTTTTACAGAGAGGAAGGGAGAGAGATAGAGAGCCAGAAACTCGATGAGAGAGAAACATCGACCAGTCGCCTCCTGCACACCCCCCACCGGGGATGTGCCCGCAACCAATATACATGCCCTTGACCGGAATCAAACCCGGGACCTTTCAGTCAGCAGACCGACGCTCTACCACTGAGCCAAATCGGTTTCGGCCATAGGTGTAAGATTTTAATCCAGTCTCTTCCTGTACCACCCACATCCCTTTCCCCTGATAATTATCACCCACTCCCTTTCTTTGCCCCTGAAATAAGGTATTTTTAAAAAATATAAACAAATAAGGTGTTAATATTTGGTGTTTTAGAAAACTTTACTTTTTGTTGCAAGTGTTACAGAAGTCCCTTCATCCCCATCACTGACCCTCTCTCCACCCTGCTCCTGTCCCCCCCTCCCAGGTCTTCCCCGAATTACTGTCTATCCATGGGCTATGCCTGTCTATACTAATAAAATGGTAATATGCTAATTAGATTGGGTTGACCAGACATCCTCCAGATGGCTGACTTCCTTCTTCCTTTCGGACAAAGCCATGGTGGTGGTGGTGGTGGGGGGGGGTGTGGATAACGCAGAGGCAGTTAGGGGTGATTAGGCTGGCAGGGGAGCAAGCAGTTAGGGGCAATAAGGCCGGTGGGAGAGCAAGCAGTTAGGAGTGAGATCAGGCCGGCAGGGGAGGGCAGTTGGGGGTGATCAGGCCGTCAGGGGAGTGGTTAGGTGGCAGGCAGGCAGGCAGGTGAGCAGTTAGGAGCCAGTGGTCCCGTACTGTGAGAAGTATGTCCAAGGGGTCCCAGATTGGAGAGGGTACAGGCCGGGCTGAGTGACCTCCCCCCCCCCCCCCGCTGTGCATGAATTTCATGCACCAAGCCTCTAATAGGTATATAAATTCACTGGTTAATATTTGTCTTTTAAAACAAAAATGTTCTGAAAATTAACTGAAGTTTGTATTTTAGGTGAAATGTCCTATAATATTTGAAGTCAAACTTTTGCTAACTCAAATGGGTATACTGTGATCTATGTAATATGAGCTACAAAATATAATCAGATTTTCTCATTGAATACTCTTTCCTGGATTACCTGAAAAATAAATATTCTTCATTTTATTTCCAAATTTGGAAATGAAATATAAACCATCATTTTGTGAGATCACTGACATGGTTGCATTCAACAGTGCCTTAAATTTTTTGCCAAATGCCTTTTCCTTAATTATAATACCTTACCTGTTTTATCTGATCAGATTCTGGAATTTGTGCAGCCATATTCTTTCAGTACCTTTATTAGTCACCTGATTTAAAAATAAAAAAACGTTTGTCAACCTATAAACAAATACTTTATTTAAAAAATGTTTTTTATTGATTTTAGAGAGAGAGGAAAAGAGAGGGAGAAAGAAACATCAGTGTGAGAAACATCGCTTTATCATCTGCTTCCTGTATACTCCCTACTGGGAACTGAGCCCAAAACCTGGGCATAAGCCCTGATTGGGAATTGAACCAATGAATTTTTGGTACATGGGATGATGCTCAACCAATTGAACTACATGGGCTATAAATAAATGTTTTTAGGCTTCTTGAAGAGTTAGGTAATCAAAACAAGAATAGTTTATGAAATAGAATTAAAACAAGCTTACCTGAAATACCACATTATTCACATTTTATCAATTTCTAACCATATATGTAATTATATGCCAATCCTATAGTTTCCCACATCATTAATGACAACAGAACCATAAAGCTTAGATTTTTTAATGCTATTACCTATGGGACCCAAAGACCCTGTCTATCTAAATCTTTAGTGTGTTATTTTTTTTTTGGGGGGGTAGGGGTTTAATACTCGCCTGAGGAAATTTTTTCCATTGATTTTGAGAGAGAATAGAAAGGAGGTTGAGGTAGTAGGAGGAGACACAGAGAGAGAGACAAAGAGAGAGAGAGAGACAGACCAAAGTGAGAGAGAAACACATTGATTGGCCTCCACCACGACAGGCTGGGCATAGAAATTTCAACCTAGGTACATGCCTGCCCTTGGGTGGGAATGGAACCAGAGACCCTTCCGTCTAAGGGCCTACACTCTAACCACTGAGTGGCTAAATCTCCAGTTTTAAAATGATTTGCCCTGCTACTTTGCAAAAAAGCTACTTATTAAAATCCCTTTCCAGAAACCAGCTTGGCTTGGTGGATAGAGCATCGGTCTGCGGACTGAAGGGTCCCGGGTTCAATTCTGGTCAAGGGCATATACCTTGGTTGAGGGTACATCCCCAGTAGGGGGTGTGCAGGAGGCAGTTGACCGATGTTTCTAGCTTTCTATCCCTCTCCCTTCCTCTCTGTAATAAAAAAAAAAAAAAAAAATCAATTACACACACACACACACAAAATAAAGTCCCATTCCTAGCAGGATTTTTCTTTTTAAAGGAATCTGAAATTTATTTTTTAGTTAATCCTCACCTGAGGATATTTTTCCATTGATTTTTAAGGAGAGTGGGAGAGGGAAAGACCGAAAGAAACATCGATGTGAGAGAAACATTCTGAGTGGTTGCTTCCTGCACCAGCCCTGACCAGAGCCCGGGCTGGGGAGAAGCCTGCAACCAGGCAAGGATAAGTGCCCTTGACAGGAATCGAACCCAAGAACCTTTGGTCTGCAGGCTGATGCTCCATTCACTGAGCCAAACCAGCTAGGGCCCTAGTAGGATTCTAAGGGGAACCAAGAGATTTCTGTTGTCTTCTGTAAGTACTCAAGTTAACTATTCCATTGGTTGCTAATGTAACTGAATGTGCTACTAATGATCCTTTTACCTTCTCTATGCAAATGGAGAGTACTATTAATTGTTAACAAACACCATCCTAACTTATAAATCAATAACCCAAATGAAAGATACTCAGAGTTCTAATATACTTTAAAAGTTATAGGAGTTGTGAAGTCTGAAATTAAAAAAGGGCAATCACTGTAACAGAAACTTTTAAACATATGACACTTATAATCTAACTTGGGGGCAACAAAGAAGTGAAGATAGGAAGTCAAAAGCCTTTCTGAATTCCTGGGATTTTCACAGATCCTAAATGGAGGCCCCCGGCTTAGTTAATCCACCTATAAGAATGTATCACATTATTTATGCTATCTGGCTAGTTCTAAAATGGAAAATATCTCATATAAAAGATTTGTATAAAATAAGACTGTTTAAAATAGAAATTAAACAGCATGTAAATAAGCATATACAATCGTGTACATGTATACTAAATGAATTTTTATGTATTATATTTAGCTTTGAATTTCCTAATAACCAATGCAAAAAAAGTAAACTAGATGTGTTAAGTCATTCTTATTGACTCATTATTATTTGAAGTGGCTCTGTAAAGCATGATATTTTCATGAAACTAGGAAATTCAAAGTGCTATTATCATGAAAAAAAATAACATTCTCATTTGATTAACGAATATAATTGATGGTAATTCCATTCTAGTATTTCCAACCCTGATACACCTTCCACTCTTTTGCATTTATTCTTCTTTCCTCTTCTTCTTTTTTTAATATCCTATAAGTTAGTGAGGATACAATCCATACTTATAGAACATTTGACCCAATACCACAGAAGACACATTTTTATCAAGTGCCCAATGAAACAATATCCTGGGTCATAAAACTAGCCTCAACAAATTTAAAATAATTTAAATCATTCTAAGTGTGTTCTCTGACCACAAATGAATCAATCTAGAAATGATTAACAGAAAGAGAACAGGCCAATTTCCAAACATCTGGAAAATAAACAATAAATTTCTAAATAATCCATGGGTCAAAGAGGAAGTATCAAGAGGGGAAAAAATCAGTGAACTGAATGAACCGAAAACTCAACATATCAAAATTTGTGTTAAAAGAACTACATCAGTGCCAAGAGAACAATTTATAGCATTAAATTCATATATCGGAAAAAAAGAAACCTCTCAAATCAAAGATCTAAACTCTTACCTAAAGCACCAAGAAAAGGAGCAAAATAAACTCAAAGCATGTAGATGGAAATAATAGAGCAGAAAAAATAAAAATGAAAACATAGCCCTGGCTAATGTGGCTCAGTTGGTTGAGTGTCGTTCTATGAACTGATCAATACCCCGTTAAGGCATATGCCCAGATGCAGGCTCAATGCACAATAGGGGGCGTGCAGGAGTCAGCTGATCCATGCTTCTAGCTCATAAATGTTTCTCTCTCTCTCTCTCTCTCTCTCTCTCTCTCAAATCAATAAAAACATACTTTAAAAAAGTGAAAACATAAAAGCAAAAAACAATAATAAAACAAAGAGTTGGTTCTTTAAAAAGACTATCATTATCAGAAATGAAACTTATCACTATAGACCCTGCAGATGTCAAAAGTATAATGAATTTACTATTATCCTGATATCAAAACCAGACAAAGGCAGCAGTACATAAAACTAAAGAAATGTCTCTCATAAAATAGACCTATAGGTCCTTAACAAAGTAATAGCAGATTGGTATTACTCTGCTAACTATCCTCTACTTGCCTTTTAGTATACCTAACTAATGGTGACAAATGATGGTTATTTCATAAGACATAGATAAGAAGTGTTCCAATAGTGTTGGTATGAATCTTCTTTATTTATAATTATTTTCTTGGCATTATATATATTTTTAAAATATATTTTTATTGATTTCAGAGAGGAAGGGAGAGGGGGAGAGAGATAGAAGCATCAATGATGAGAATCAGTGATGAGAGAGAATCAGTGCCTCCTCAGGTTTGAGCCTGCAACTCGGGCATGTGTCCTTGACCGGAATCGAACCCAGGACCCTTCAATCCACAGGCTCTATCTACTGGGCCAAACCAGCTAGGGCTTCTTGCCATTATCTTTTTTTTTTTTTTTTTAATATATTTTATTGATTTTTTACAGAGAGAAAGGGAGAGAGAGATAGAGAGCTAGAAACATCGATGAGAGAGAAACATCGATCAGCTGTCTCTTGCACACCTCCTACTGGGGATGTGCCCGCAACCAATGTACATGCACTTGACTGGAATCGAACCTGGGACCTTTCAGTCCACAGACCGACGCTCTACCACTGAGCCAAACCGGTTTCGGCACCATTATCTTTTAATGTCAAGTTCTTAATAGTATATATCTCCTTAAAATGAAATAAAGTTTTATCATATTATAAAAGTAATGCAATCTATTTCTTGAGAATTTGGAAAATAAAAGAGAAATACTCTACTCAAAAACCACTAAGTTAACATTATGGTTTTCTTTTCTCTAGAATCATTCCATTATAAACTTTTCAAATATTGTCCCAGATCTACAATTGAACTTAAGAGCTAACAGTCAGCAATTTTCTCAAGTCTGCCTAAATCTCTAAAGTTCTTTTCAATAGTCATAAATAATATAGTCATAAATACCATTTCATTGTGATTTGCTTTATTGCGTTTTTTACAAATTGAAGGAAAGACCTTCCACCAGCAAAAAGATTATAACTCCCTTATTGCGGTGGTTTAGAAATGAAACCGCAATCTCTGAAGAATATCTGTATCAAGATCATGGCATACGTAATTTCAGGCAGCTGTTCCTAGGAAATCCTGGAGGTGATTGATTTGCAAATTTACCTGCTATCTGGAGTCTCTAAAGTCTTTCATCCTTCTCTTTTACAGTTATTTAATCATAAATTATTCTGATTAACAAACTCCAACAAGCCAAGCAAATTACTGATAGTGAAAACAGGCAGCAGCAATGTGGCTGCCCTTTTATTTGATCCTAGTTTCCAGATATTACAGCAAATGTTTGTTATTATAGAGACAAACATCCACTGAGGAGTTACCTTTCAATTATACCCCTGAGAGCTGGAGATGGAGAGAAGAGGTAAGAGTTCCAGAATCTCTGGCTTAGTTCTTGGGAATGATACAGCAATGTTATTTTTTTGCCAAGCACAAATATATCATAAAACCAGGTAACTTTTAAGAGTAAAGGGAGATCTTATCAGTCATCAAGCTCAAACCTTTTCTGATGCATGTGTTTCCTTTCTGTTCTGGAAAAATAGTTGTCCAACTTTTGCTTGAATGTCTCCAGTGAGGCCTTATTTCTTATCTGAAAAAATGATGGTATTACAATGATTGGGGAGACCTCTTCAAACTCTAATAGTTTATTTGAGAAGTCTAAACTTCTGTTGGCTAAGTCATTTTTAAAAAAGCCTCTTCCTTAGATTTACTGTGATCATTTTGCAATACATACTGATATGGAATCATTATACCGTACATCTGAAACTAACAATATTACATAGAA